AGCACTCTACCACTTGAGCCACAGTGCCACTTCCGGCTTTTTTCTTATGTGGTGCTGAGGAATCGAACCCAGGGCCTCGAGCATGCAAGGCAAGTAGTCTACTACTGAGCCACCTTCCCAGCCCCTCTTCTTTCTTCTTTCTTCTTCTCTCTTCTTCTTCTTTCTTCTTTCTTCTTCTTCCTCCTCCTCCTGCTTCTTCTTTCTTCTTCCTTTTTCTTCTTCCTCCTCGTCCTCCTCCTTCTTCTTCTTCTTCTTTCTTTCTTTCTTCCTCAGGGCCTGGGCACTGTCCCTGAACTTCTTTTGCACAAGGCTAGCACTCTACCACTTGAGCCACAGCACCACTTTCAGCTTTTTAAAAAAATTTATGTGGTACTGAGGAATTGAACCCAGGGCTTCATGCATGCTAGCAAGCACTCTACCACTAAGCCACATTTTCAGGCATTACTGTTCCATTTTCATAGTTGCAAATAATCTATTTTGGCAATATTCAACTTTATCCTCTCTGCCATCATTATCCATTTTTAAGGATTCTTTTATGCACTGACTAGATTTCAGTCAGACTTAGTGTTTATCTTGATTCATGGTAATGTGCTTTGACATGGAACATAAACTAATTGCAGGTGGTTTCTTAAAGGTCTGTGAATGCATCATATTGATCTCTCATTTCCTAGGTTGTCTTAGATTATTTCTTTTTTTTTTGTCGGTCGTGGGGCTTGAACTCTGGGCCTGGGGCTATCCCTGTGCTCTTCAGCTCAAGGCGAGCGCAGCGCTCTACCACTTGAGCTACAGCGCCACTTCTGGTTTTCTGGTGGTTTATTGGAGATAGGAGTCTCACGGTCTCTCCTGCCCGAGCTGGCTTTGAACCGAGATCCTCAGATCTCAGCCTCCTGAGTAGCTAGGATTACAGGCGTGAGCCACCAGCACCCGGCCGATTATTTCTAAGATTGCCTTACCTAAATTAGTACAAGATTTGAATTTGGGGATTATTTCTTCAAAGATTTGTTGAATCAGTGCTATAGCCATTGTAACAAATAGTGGACCTTCAAGGATAAATTAGATTTGACCCTCATAGTTTTAACTCTTGAGTTGAGTAGCTATGGCAGACTTTATTTCAAGTTCTCAGTCATTTATGCCTTCCTTTCTTTTCCCTCCCTCCCTCCCTCCCTCCCTCCTTTCCTTCCCTCCCTCCCCCCTCTTTCTTTCTTTCTCCGTTGTGGGGCTTGAACTCAGGCTTGGGCACTGTCCCTAAGATTAACACTTCACCACTTGAGCTACAGTGCCCCTTTGGGTTTTTGAGTGGTTAATGGGGGACAAGAGACTCATGGGGACTTCGAACTGTGATCCTTGGATCTCAGCCTTCTGAGTAGCTAGGATAACAGGCATGAGCCACTAGTGCACTGCATCAGTTGTGTCTTTCTTATGTATCTTAAATAGTGGTTTTTAATCTTGGATACTCATATCTAGAAAGTCTTTTCAGTCTATATTTAACAAATCTCAAGTGATATTGCTCATAAGCAATCTTTGTTACAGATGACTTAGGCCTCCTAGATAGGATGTATTTGAGATTTTGGCTTGTAATAATTTTGGCAGTAGATCAAATGCTCTAAAAGAGTTCCATAAATGATGTTTTTAAGGTTTTTATATTATCAGACTCATCCTCATTTTTCTTTGTATATGAGAGGAAGTACCAGAAAACAAAATCTAAGTTACCCAGAGATGTTTGTCAGTCCTTTTTGTTTGTTTATTTGTTTGTTTGTTGTTATAGGGCTTGAACTCAGGGCCTGGGTGCTGTCTCTGAGCTTTTGTGCTCAAGGCTAATACTCCACTACTTGGAGCCACTGTGCCACTTCTGGTTTTCAGGTGGTTAATTGGAGATAAAGAGTTAAAAAGTCTCATGGATTTTCCTACCAGGGCTGGCTTCAAACTTCCATCCTCAGATCTCAGAGTAGCTAGGATTACAGGCATGAAACCACCGGCACCTGGCCCTTTTTTATTTTATTAAAAATTTTTTTTAAAGCAGTATGTTCTTATGGTTGAGAACTTGGATACTTGTATATTTTCTCTTCTAGCAATTATAAAGTTTGCACTGTGGTTTTCAAGGCCTTATGTAATCTAGCCCATAAGAGTCCTCAGCCTTTTTTATTTTCCTTATAAAAATCTGTCTAGTCAAATAGGCCTTTTCTGTTCACCAAGAACACTACTATCTTAAGGCCTCTGCATTTTTTTTCTGTTTCCTCTTCCTGAAACATTTCCCCAGGTATGTCCCACAGCTAGCTATGCTGTACATTTAGGTCTCCTTAAATGTTACCTCCTCAGAGGTGCTTTCTTGATCACTCATCTAAAATGATTCCTCTTGTCACTTCATTACCTTCTGGATTGTCTTCATACTTTTTATTCCATACGTATGTTTATTATTTATCTTACAAGTCCAAGAATGGAGGTAAAGACTTCATGTTGACCCCTAGCAGCTTGTATATTGTCTTACACAATCAGATACTTTCTCTGGCAATAAAAATCTTGACATTTTAGCCAGGCAGCCCAGGCAGGAAATTCCATGAGACTCTTATCTCCGATTAATTAGCAGAAAACTGGAAGTGGTGCTTTGATTTAAAGTTGTAGAGTGCTATCCTTGAGAAAAAAAAAGACTCAGGGGCAGCACTCTGGCCCTGAGTTGAAGCCTGAAGACCGACAAACAACAAAACCTTGACATTTTAAATGATTGTTTAAGGGAAAAATAGTATATCATATAAATTAATTGTGCTATTTATATCTGTGTGAATGTGCCATTCCTTTGATTTCTTAACTGTATATTTTCTGTTTTTATAGATTTTGATCTTGGCTCCTACAAGAGAAATTGCTGTACAGATACATTCTGTTATCACATCCATTGGAATAAAAATGGAAGGTTTAGAGTGTCATGTTTTTATTGGAGGGACTCCATTATCACAAGACAAAGCTAGACTTAAAAAGTGTCATATTGCTGTTGGCTCTCCTGGTAAGATATGAGTACCTCTTAGTTAACTGTAACTCTCAAACAGAATACCATATTTTGTATTGGGATTTGAACTCAAGGCATTGTACTTGCTTGGCTAGCACTATACCACTTGAGCCACTCTTTCAATGCAGCTTTTTGCTAGTTATTTTGGAGATGGAGTATCCTGGACTTTTCTACTTGGACTGGCTTTGAGCCACGATCTCTGGACCACAGCTTCCTGCATTACATGCATGAGCCCCAGCCACCTGGCTAATGACACTTTCAGTATGACAATGAGGATGGAGGGATTTTTGATAGTTGTGATCATTATTTTGAGTAAAAGTGAAGAACATTAGCTAGAGGTGGTGATATAAGCCTTTGATTCCCCCTTCTTGAGAGGCAGAATTGAAGTGTGAGGCTATCCTGAGCAAAAGCACGAAAACCATTTGAAAAACTTAGTGAAATGAGCTGGGGGCGGAAAAGAGATGGGGGTGTGTGACTCAAGTGGTAGATCACTTGTCTAGCCTTATGGCAAAGAGAACAGTAGAAGAGTGACAAACTGGATTACCAACAGAATTTATGAAGCTCTAATCTTGGAAGATGTTTAAGAAAACTTATGGAAAGAATCTGAGAAGAATAGAAATGATGCAACTTTTAGGATGCCCTTCTAAGCCATAGATTGAGATTTTTCTGAATCAGAATCTAGCATTCAATTTCTTAATACTCAAGTCTTTTGATGGGAATGGTATTTTTCATGCTGATGAAAACATGAAAAAAGAATGAATTTATTCATAATTTGTAGTTTAGTATACAAATACATGAGAATTGACTCAGGAAATTCAGCAGTGGAGCCTGTGAATAAATGGAATAAAACAGTCAAATATTGTTTAAAAATCTTAAACAGATTTTATACAGATTTGCTATGTCATAAATATTTCAGTGATTTTTTTTTCTTTTCCTGGTATTTAGGCAGAATTAAACAGCTCATAGAACTTGACTATTTGAATCCAGGCAGTATACGTCTCTTTATTCTTGATGAAGCCGATAAGCTTTTAGAAGAAGGCAGCTTCCAGGAGCAAATAAAGTAAGAAAAATAACTTGACTATAAAACTAGTGTTCAAAAGCACATGTCTTTCACTTTTCCATCTTATTTCCATGCACATATTTTTTCTGTTTTGCAGTTGGATTTTTTCTTCCTTACCTGCCAGTAAACAGATGTTGGCGGTATCAGCTACTTACCCTGAGTTTTTGGCTAATGCTTTGACAAGATATATGAGAGATCCTACTTTCGTAAGATTGAATTCCAGTAATCCAAGTCTCATAGGTAGGTAGAGATTTTGGGCACTTCCACTATTGATTTGTTCATGGCATTCTGGAATTTTTACTTGCCTTTTTCACTATTGCTGTTTTCTTAGTATAACATATATTTGTTTTAACTGATACCTATTTCTTTGTAGGTCTGAAGCAGTATTACAAAGTTGTCAGTTCATACCCTTTAGCCCATAAGATTTTTGAAGAAAAGGCTCTTCATTTACAGGAATTGTTCAGCAGAATTCCATTTAATCAAGCTTTAGTCTTTTCTAATTTGCATAGCAGGTAATAAAACTTGATACAGTCATCTGGGGAACTTTTGAAATAAGATAAGCAGTACTAGTAAATGGTAAACCTTTCTTATTTTTTTAGAGCTCAACATTTGGCTGATATTCTTTCTTCTAAAGGCTTTCCTGCTGAGTGCATATCAGGCAAGTTCATTGCTTTAATATTTGTTTTAATATACTGATTTAAGGCCTCGAGTCAGGAGGAAGAAAGATCGCTTCATACATTGTCTAGTAAATGTGAGGATGCACTGAGTTTTCAGAGTGGAGGAAATTTTGGGCTGAAATTTCATTGGAATTTGGTCTGTCTATATTCTGACCTTTTAAATTGTCTTGATTTTTTAAAGGAATAAGTAGTGGCCAAAGAGACTTAAGTTTTTGGTAGAATTTCTTTGAGTTTAATCTTCAAGGAATTCTATAAAACAGATTTTGTCCTGAGACAAAACAAATTTTTTTCCTGAGTTACTTTATTTCTTGACATACTCTTTGTTAAAATGCTGAGTATGGCAGCACATACAATGTCATGCCAGCACTCTGTAGGCTGAGACAGGAGGATATTTGAGTTTACCTGAACTATATAACAAAACTTTTTTTTCAGAAACCAAAACCAACAGGGCACTGGTCACTCATACCTATGATCCTAGCTATATATCAGATCTCCTATGGGAGATCATCCCGTGTAGGAAAAGTCCTTGAGTCTTTGATCACCATTTAACCAGGAAAAAAAGCTGGAAATGGAGTTGTGGCTTAAGTGGTAGAATACTAGCCTAGAGCTAAGAGGCTAAGGGACAGCATTGCTGAGTCCCAGAGTTCAAGTTCCAATAGGAAGCGGGCTCAGTGGTGGGTGCTTGCCTCGCATGCATGAGGCCCTGGGTTCAATTCCTCAGCTCCATATAAGCAGAAAAAAAAGCTGGAAGTGGTGCTGTGGCTCAAGTGTAGGGTGCTAGCCTTGAGCTGAAGAGCTGAGCACTCAGGCCCAGAGTTCAGCCTCCACGACCGACCCCCCCCCAAAAAAAAAAATCACTCTGAGAATTGCTAAGTTAATTGATTCTTCTTTTTGTGGTGCTGGGGCTAAAACTCGATGCCTTGAGCATGTTAGCCAAATGCTCTATCACTGAGTTAATGCTTCTAAGCCTTTGAATTTTGACTGTTTTATGTTCACATAGAAGGAAAAATGACTCAGTCCTTGACACAAAGTTTATTACTGCTGGCCTAATGGACATGTGTGACTTAACCAGTGAGGCCCTTTAGCTTGAGCTTGTTTAGTATGAGATATAGGGGAGACTCTTCTCTAATGGGCAAGTATTTTGATTGGCTCACATTTCAACACCAAGTTTATAAACAGTTAAGAGTTGTTTGCTGTACTTGATATGTTGTGATCTGCAGGCATAATCTGGTTACCATTTAAAAATTAAAGTTGCCTAAACTCTGTTTTAAAAGTTCTCACTTTAGATCTTACCCAGATTTGCACAGAACAGAATTAACTGTGCCTGGTGTATTTAAAGTATTAAGACTCGTACTTACGATTCCTGCTTTTTGTGGACCTGATAAATATGTATTTCCTAGTTGTTTTTATGGTTTTCATCTTGGTCTTTTTAGGCAACATGAATCAGAATCAGCGTCTTGATGCCATGGCAAAGCTGAAGCAGTTTCATTGCAGAGTCCTCATTTCTACAGATTTGGTAATTTTCCTGTTTGATATGGGTGACTGTCTTGATACATATATTATCAGATGTATAGATTGCATCTAGTATAGATTGCATCTAGTATTTTATGTGGGTGTGCCTTAGAATACTAAAAAAGATAATTATCTTTCCAAATCTGGGGAATCTTAAACAGGTTGTTAATATATTATTAATTCTTGTTTTTTAAATCAGTTATTAATGCTAATTTTTCTTTGGGTTTGCTCCTAAATATTCTCCTGCTCTTAATTTGGCTCTTGGTTATACAAGAAGTCTCTAGTGAGCATTGATAGCCATGCTGTAATTAATGTAAACAAGTAATTATTAATCTTCTTCAAGACTTCCCGTGGCATTGATGCTGAGAAGGTGAATCTGGTTGTCAATCTGGATGTACCATTGGACTGGGAGACATACATGCATCGGATTGGTAGAGCTGGTCGCTTTGGTAATGAAAAACAAATTTTTTTTTGCATACTTTCATTACAGGGAAGGATCTATATGGTGAAGGTAGATTTGGAATGTAACTTACGTGAAAATGATTTACTATTTGATACTTTCTCTGCTTTAGGTACATTAGGACTGACAGTAACCTACTGTTGCCGGGGAGAGGAAGAAAATATGATGATGAAAATTGCCCAGAAATGTAATATAAATCTTCTCCCTTTACCAGGTACATTTTTTTGATGAATTCTTTTTTTTAAAATTTTTAATACATTTTTAAATTGTAAAAATACTGTACAGAGAGGTTACAGTTACATGAGCAAGGTAATGAGTACATTTCCTATCAAGCATTATTACTTCCTTTGTTTTCCCCCTACTTATCCCTTCCCTCCCATCTCCACAACTACTCGCCCCCTCCCTTGCCTAACTTGTAATGTTTGTTTTTTAACATAGTGTCTTGTGCATCTCATTGTTACAGTGGGTCAACCTGTATCCCTATTTAAGCATTTTGTTTTTTCCCTTCCTCTCTCCAAATTAGAAAAGTGTATATACAAGATGTAGGGCACCGACATCAAATACAGTGAAAAACAGGAGTTATGCCGTGGGGGAGGAACATACAAAGAAACAAAAAAAATCACATGGTACATTATAAATACGTTAGGGTTCCTTGGAGTTCATATTGCTTAATATCATCTTATCTGGTCATATGTACATAGCTTTTGACCTTTTCTGCTTGTCTCAGACATATACTAGTTATTGCAAATAAGGGAAACCATGGGACCTATGTTTACCAGGTACATATTTGCTACATAACAGTTGGAGTGATGGGGAAAATATAACAATAAATACATAGTGTTTATGACATGTTGGGTGTGTGTGTGTATGTGTGTGTATAAAATATATATATAAATAACCATATATATATATATATATATATATATATATTAACTGACTTAATTCTTGTGGCAGTCCTGTGAGATATGTACCATTGTTATCTATGTTATTTAGGCATAAATAGGTTAATAAAAGGTGTTAGAGCTGATAAGTTGCAAAACAGGATTGCAAGCTAGTGGCATGTGAAAAATAAAAAAAAATTCTATTACTTTGTATTCGTTACTTTTTTTAATTAAGTTGCTTTTTTTGCAATTTGATTTTCTTTCTTTGGTAAGAGTGAGTGTATTTCATTGCTTCTAAGTTGATGTGAAGGTAATTTTTGCCATATCTTTGTTGTCATGGGAAAGCATTTTTAATTTGAATACAACTTTGAAGAATTTGAGTGAAGTGTTTTTCTTTTGACTTTCTTTCTTTTTTTTTTTTTGTCGGTCGTGGGGCTTGAACTCTGGGCCTGGGTGCTGTCCCTCAGCTCTTCAGGTCAAGGCGAGTGCTCTACCGCTTGAGCCACAGTGCCACTTCCGGTTTTCTAGTGGTTTATTGGAGATAAGAGTCTTACAGAGTTTCCTGCCTGGGCTGGCTTTGAACCATGATCCTCAAATATGAGCCTCCTGAGTAGCTACGATTACAGGCATGAGCTACTGGTGCCTGGCTTTTCTTTTGATTTTTAATGACTCACTTATAATGATGTTTTTAAAATGCCTTCTTGGAAGGAGTGCATATTTGAAACTTAATGATCTCTTAAAAAATTCTTAAAAGTTCTGGCTTGATATATGTTATATGTGAATGATACATATATATTTGTATATTGAGAAATATGTATATATGTTATGTATAGTAGGTACATGACTTAGTAGAATATGGGATATGTAGTTATTGAATAATCTGAGTATTATCAAATTTTTATTTAATTTCTCTTGTTTTGCAAACCATTTACAAGTATTAATACAAATTATTTACAAATTTGAGAATGTGGTAGATTCTAGTTTGTTCTGGCTTGATAATTGTATGATTTTTTACAATTAAAAAAAGTTCATAAACTCAATGTCCTGATTTGCAAGATATTTTACAGTAGATGGTGTTTAGATTCTGTATCAGATGTTCTAGAACTCTCATTTCTTTCTATATACATCAGTTGGTGATCTGATATGAGGAAGAATAAATTGGACATTGGTAGAAGAGGGTTAAGAATCATGTAGGATTTAGTATATAGCATCTAGTGATAGAAATAAGGTTTGCTTTTGGATGATGGAAAATGCTATATTTGGATCTTTATGTAATGTTAACAGAGCCCTGAAATTATGAGGGAATGATAGTGATGGTGTAATGGCCTGAGAACTTGTGTTACAGAAACCTGTTAGATGAATTCTGGGGGCAGCTCTAGGCGGAGAGTTGACCTGGATGAGAGAAAGTGTTAGGCCCACATTAGAATCACATTTCAGTGGTTAAACACCTCATGGAAGAAAAACAGCAGCAACAGGCAAGAGCTTTATAAAGCTGGGATTCAATATATCTTGTCTTCCTAGGATGAAAAATATTTGCACTTTGGAAAGGTTGAATCACCAGAGGAAGGAAATAGTCATATCTGTTTGGAATAGAACATTTAGAGAGTCAAATCCAGCAAATTTAAGAAGAAAAAAGAAAGGAAACAGAAGAACAAAGGAAAGAAAAGAAAGCTAGGTGCTCGTGGCAACACTGAGCTGATCAGGAGACTGATCAGCTGATCAGGAGACTGAAGTTAGCCCAAGCTAGCTTCCAGTGAACCACCAAAAAGCCAGAAGAAGAACTGTGGCTTAAGTGGTAGAGTACCAGCTTTGAATAAAAAAACCCAAGGAATAGTACTCAGGTTCTGAGTACTGACCCAGTACTAGCTCACAAAGGAAAATTAGAAAGTTTGTTGGTACTATAGATCTTTTCATAGTCATATAGCCTTGCTTTTTTTCCCTCACCTGTAGAGGTGGATTGATTTTTTTTTTGTAAGACTATAAAGTAGCAGATTTAGGTGGATGCAGATTTAGTATTGTAATATTTCCAAGTTGATAGCTTTGGGTGGGAGCATAGTTGATTTTGGAAGACCTGGTTTTGTTGTCAGTGGCAAATAAAGGAGGGGCTGGAGAGGAGGACAGGAAAGATGGGAGTTACTACATGGACTTGTATAGCACTCTTACAGTAAGCTTCTGGAGGAAGCGTAGGAAAAGACAGCTAAGTGAGTATGTGATTGGTGAAAAGTAGCTTGAGAATTTTAATCTTTGTTCTTCCTTTTATGTAGATCCCATTCCTCCTAGTCTGATGGAAGAATGTTTGGATTGGGATGTGGAGGTGAAAGCTGCTATGCATACGTATGGTTTAGCAAGTCTACCAAACCAACCACCCAAAAAGCAAACTCAAAAAGTAGAGAGGACCTTTCAAACTCCAAAAGCTCATGGTAACCACATGACTTCCTCTAGACATACTACTGTATCTACACTATCAGTCAAATCAAAAAATGCCAAACAAAAACTTCCTGCGAAAAGCCATTCAGAGTGTGGAATCATAGAAAAGGCTATGTCACCGAAAGAACCAGGGCATGGCATACAATTGGAAGAACAAATGAAGAATTCTGTTCAGCCTCCTGCTGAAAACGCCACCAGTAGTCAGCATCAGGACAAACAAGCTTTACCTGAGTCACTCCCCAAAATTCCTTGTTTGTCATCCTTTAAGATCCAACAGCCATGTACTTTGACTTTTGCAGAACTGGTGGAAGATTATGAGCATTATATTAAGGAGGGGTTGGAGAAACCTGTGGAAATTATCAGGCACTACACAGGTCCTGGGGATCAGACTGTGAACCCTCAAAATGGTTTTGTGAGAAACAGAGTTTCTGAAGATAGAGTACAGATGTTGGCAAGTAGTAGCCAGTCCGGAGACTCGGAGAGTGACAGTGATTCCTACAGCTCCAGGACCTCTTCCCAGAGCAAAGGAAACAAGTCCTACTTAGAAGGCTCTTCTGATACTCAGCTGAAAGACTCTGAATCTACTCCTGTGAATGGCCATACCTCTTTGGAACAACCTTTGAATGGAAAAGACATTCCTACTCCAGGAGAGTTACCTGAAATCCAGATAAAGGCAAGGCATAAAGAAGGGTCTAACCAGAGATCTAAGCAAAGCCGGAGAAACTTACCCAGGCGTTCTTCATATCGATTACAGACAGAACCCCAGGAAGACGGTTGGTATGACAGCCATAGGGAAACCCATCCGAGTTTTTCTGATACCTACCAGGATTATGAGGAGTACTGGAGAGCTTACTACAGGGCATGGCAAGAATATTACGCTGCTGCATCTCAGTCATACTATTGGAATGCCCAGAGACATCCGAGTTGGATGGCTGCCTATCATATGAATACTGTTTATCTACAAGAAATGATGCATGGTAACCAGTGATTCTAGGATTTACTTGGTGAGAGGAACAAACAATTGATAGTTGGATATCCATTCTCCTTCACCTAGAGCAGAGTAGCATATAGATGCATATTTGAGGAACTTGAAAAGATTCAAGGCTTTCCACTGGGACACATCTATTTTTCAGATTATTTTGACTTGCTCCAGGTATATTACCTCTCTTTTTGAAAGAAACTTCATCAAATTCTCAAAAGACAGTTTTGGGGACAAACAACAAAGATCCCAAGGTGCCATTTTCTGGAAGCTGTTTCCAAAAGAAACATTTAAAAAGATGACATATATACCACTGTTTACTTAAATAAAACAGCTAAGATTTGAAAGTAATGTTAACATACACTGTGGAATTCTTTACAAATGGATTGGGCTGTTTTTCCATGTTGGTGCATTCTTGAAGAGATTTGTATCTTGGTAGATCCTTTAGGTTTAGCTAGTGAAGAATATTTGAAGATAGCTTCAGATTTAGACTTGATTTACTCTTATTTACTTCCAGTAAAAAAAAAAAAAAAAGTCCCCAGTACAGCAAATGTAGCTTAATATGGTGGCATTTATTGTTCACATTTTAAATGTTTTTATTCTTGAGATTTTTACTCAACACATTTTTACTGTATGTTAAATACAGTACAGGTAATGCTCTATAGCTCTATAGGAAATTACAGGAACAGCTCTTGGATTTTTTTTTTTTTTCTGGTGCTACGGGAGTTTGAACTCAGTTTCATATTTGCTAGGCAAGTACACTACTACTTGAGTCATGCCTCAAGCTTGGTTCTTGGATTCTTTTTTATGATTCTGATGAAGGCTATAGGTTGACTCCAGAGAATTTCTCATTCTATAAACACAGAACTGTGCTTGGAATTTAAAAAGGTTCTAGACTCTCTGAAGTGCATCTGTGAAAAGAACTGACCCTCTGCTGGTAAGCAGGTGGAGTTCTAGCAGATAGTAGGCAGTATTTTTGGAAGCTGGATTTTATTCTACTCACTTTTCACACACTATGTCTTAATGTGTGTGTTCTAGAAAGTTTTCTTTAGTTTTTAATCTCTAATGCTATGGTCAAGAGGAGCGCTCCTTTTTTCTGAGATATAGTGCACCTATAAGTTGTGGTTTAGAAAGTTGTATTTGAAGCTTTTTTTTTTCCTCTGCCAGTCCTTTTTATCACTAAGCTTTAGTTCTCAGATCTTTCTGTGAACTAGGTTTGTGTAAGAACTCCTTATTCACTTTATAAAAGGAAAACTTTAAACATACTCATCTAGGCAATGTAAACACTTTCTTGGGTAACACTCCTTTTTGTCAGCAAACACAACCATTGTCATTTTACTGAATATCTCTAGCAATCTTTTTTTTTTCTTTTTTTTAAATTTATTGGTTGTGGGGCTTGAACTCAGGGCCTAGGCACTGTCCCTGAACTTTGAGCCACAGTGTCATTTCTGGTTTTCTGGTGGTTAATTGGAGATGAGTCTCACAGACTTTCCTTCCTGGGCTGGCTTTGAACCACAATCCTCAGATCTAATCCTCAGAGTAACTAAGATTACAGCCACTGGTGCCCCACTAGCATGCAATCTTTCAATTTGGATTCTTCTCATTTGGAATTGTCAGTGTATGTGTTATCAGTACTGGGCATGAATTGCTAAGTTGGCAATAACAACTGTAAGATAGCAAATTCATGGTCTGGTATGTTATTAAAGTTGAGATTTTAATTATATTTAAGATTCTGTCATTGCTATATAATTGAACTTACCTCTTTACCCTTTCCCCCATAATACTGCAAAGTTTATAGTTTGTCATTGCTAGGTGATTTTATTTAGGATCCTGCAGCATCTTAGAGATGAGGTTATCCATTAGTCTAGAAATTAATTGGATTCTTTCTTTAGGTTTGTCTTATTTTGTGTTTGCTCTTTTCTTTCTGTAGAAAAATAAGTTAGGTGAGCATATGGTATAAAAATGCAATTGCTTTGCTCTTTATAGTTATTTACCAGGAAAGTTTTAGCTGTAACCTTAACTAAGAGGTAGTTCCAGGGCTAGGTAGCATGCCTGTTATTCCTCCTATTCAGGAGGTGGCTTAAAGCAGGCCCAGGCAAAAGTGAGATTTTATCTGAAAAACGAAAAGCAGAACAACTTGGGGCATGGCTCAAGTGGTAGAGCCCTTGTCTAACAAGCTGGAGTACAAGTTCAGCTCCCAGTAACACCTACCTCCAACCTGGATTGAAGACCTCTGTCACCTGTACATGACCTGTCGAAGTAGAAAAGACTTATGGTTGGAATTGTCAGTCTCGGTTCATGTTAGGAACCATAGGTAGGGTGGTTTCATTGGAGATCTTTGTTATGTCATGAAAACCTAAATTTGTAGTTAGGTTCTTCTATTATGTACTTTTAAATCTTATACCAGTCATTTGAACTCTCAGGGTCCAGTTTTGTTGTGAATAAAAATACCCTGGAGAAGATTTTTAGGTTCTTTCTAGTTCTGTTATAGGACTCTTTTGAAGAGAAAATATTTTCCTGTGTATGGTACTGGAGTTTGAATTCAAGGCCTCAAGCTTGCGAGGCGGGTGCTCTATCACCTGAGCTACCCACCTCTAACCCTTTTTGATTTAGTTATTTCAAGTAGGTTCTGTGTTTTTGTCTGGAGCTAGCCTCAGACCACAATCATCCTATCTGTGGTCTTCCACCCTGGCCTATTGAATTGAGATGGGGGATCTCAATCAATTCTTTGCCCAGGCTGGCCTCAGAAGTGAGATCTGGGTCTCTGCTGCTCAACTAGCTAGGATTATAGGCAGAGCCCCTGTTATCAGCTTTTGTTTTTGAGACAGGGACTTACTCTTCGTCTCAGGCTAGTCTCACACTGGCTTACTGAGTGCCGGGACTACAGATATTCATTGCTGTGCCTGGCAAGAGAAAATAGTAAAAAGGAGGATAAAATTTATGAATATAGAAAGCCTTTATAAACCTGTTATTTGGGTGAGAGCTGATTATAAATTGGTTAGACATCTAAATTTTCAAGTACTGTTCAATCAGTATACTTTATTCATATTTAACTTCAATTAGGCTTTCATTATTAACCTAGATTCTTGAGAAATCCACATCTTTGGATAATTCTTAGAATACAAATTATCCTTTTAAGTAATTAAAAGATATTTCCTAAACGTACTAAGCTTTTAAAAAAACGTGGTTTACAAGTAATTTCATTGAACACAAGTGGTAGTTCTTGTGGGCAAGTATGTATGAGATCTAAGGGAGTACTTTAGCTGTTTTTTCTCCCTAAACCTAAAAGTATGTTAAACTTCAAATGTAGAATTATATTTTTGATAGCTAGTGAAATCATTACAAGGTTATTTGCTTGTTTTGGTGTACTTTAAAATACTTTGTTTCTGAGCAAGCACATATATGCTACTGGACATTTAGTGCTTTTTTTTTCTTCTCAATATTGCAGCTTGAACTTAGGGCCCTGAGCTTGCTAGGTAAGAGCTGAGTCATATCTCCAGCCTCTATTTTGTGCTTCTTACTCTTGAGATAGAGTCTCACTTTCTGCCCAGGAGCACACCTGGACCATGCTCCTGTTTATTTTTTTAGGTCTCCCATTGTAGCTTGGATGACAGGTATGTACCACCATGCCCAGCTTCTCCCAATGAGATGGTGTCTTGTGAACATTTCTATCTAGACTGGCTTGGAATTGTGATCCTCTATCTCAGCTTCCTAAGTAGTTAAGCTGACAGGTGCATACCTCTTGGTCCAGCCAAGGGTTGAAAGGGGTCTTGTAAATTTCTGCTTAGGCTGTCCTCAAACTGTCATCCTCCCATTTTCAGCCTCCCAAGTAGCTAGGACTACAGGTATGAACCACCAGCACCTGGGTTTTCATTTAGTGTTTTTTAATGAAAAAGGAATTGCTCAATGCCCATCTTGGGTCCAGTTGATTTGAGTTATGGATCTGTGGTGACACCTAGTGGCTGCTAAGGATGTGGACATCAATGATTAAAATAAACCTCAGCCAACTTCTAAGACTTTCTATTCCTTCTATTTCTGTTATCATTTCCATTGATTGGTGGTGGTGGAGAGATCAAAACAGTTCACATAAAAATGTGAAAATGCTTATCTCACCACCTAAATGAGAGTTGTTAATGCTTAGAGTAGATCTTCAAAGTATCTAAATCCAGTCTCCCTACTTGTATGATGAAAAACCAGGAAGGAGAAAGTAACTTATGTGAAGTCATATAAATGGTAGAACCTAAATTGGATCCTCTCAGCCAGTTACCAAGCTTTCTACTCTACCACACAGCATTTGAGAATCCTTTTTAATTTGAGAGCTTGGTTTAGATGGAACAGTACTGATAAAAGCAGATTTTTCTTGCAATAATACAAAGTCGAGCCCGCTGCTGGTGGCTTATGTCTACAATCCTAACTACTCAGGAGGCTGAGATCTGAAGATCATAGTTCAAAGCCTGCCCTGGCAGAAAAGTTCAAGATTCATATCTTCAATTAAGTACCAAAAGAGTAAAAGTAGAGTTTTAGCACAAGTGGTAGAGTGCCAGTCTTGAGTGAAAAAGCTTATGAACAGTGCCAAGCCCCAAGCACTAATACACACACACACAATAAAGCAAGGCTAAACTTTAAAAAAGAGTTGGCAATTTTAATCCAGTGATTTACATTGTCAAGTGTTTGTGGTTTGTGACTATAACTATGTACAGGCAGGTAAGGACCCTCAGGAACTCATCGAGTTGCTGCTTTGAGGTTAGATGAGGTTGTCACATACCTTTCAGAGTCTTCACTAGCTGGATAGAAAGTGTTTTGGTGGTATATGGCAGTATTTGTGGTAGAGAGTTGACATTAAGAAAAAACAAGTCATTTTAGGGTTTGTGGCACGTTGTTTAATCCAGATTGGATACATCAGGTACAGCAGTGGCACACGACTCAGTACTGTAAATGATATACATGTCTTAACATATGCACTACAGTTTCAAAAGAAGACGACAAGAAACTAAGTTTTTCCCCCATAGAAAGTCTTCACGTATTTTATCTTCCTGCAGTTTTGTACAGTGTATTTCTTCTTTGCCATTGGGATGTTGGTAAGCAAAGCCCACTTACTATACAAAAATAGAAAAGAACACAATGATGTTTTACATGATAACATTAATGGGAGAGTATGGCCTCTAAGGAAAACACATTGGAATGTCTGATTATAAAAAATATACCATCCCTCCCACCTCCCGGTTTGTAAAATAGTCCATTGGTCCAAGGAGTCCCCCAGGACATGGGTCAGTGCCCTACACTGGTTAGAGTGACATTAGCCAGTGTAGTTAAAGTAACCTGCTAAGATAAATGTCGTTTCCACATTTGATGAGAAAAAATAGAACATCCTGAATAGAAAACAAGACTTGTAAGGAACCCCTTTAAAAAGCTTGTTTCATTTTCCTGGTAGCCACATCTTCGTAGCTCTAACGGTGTTCTTCATGATGCATTTTGGGCTCCCAAGTGTCATGGGGTCATGACAGTGTTTTTCTTCAGCCACCGTAAATAATGAGAATTGCAAATAATAAGAATTCATTAGGAAATTAGAGGGAAAGTAAAGGTTTCTCAGGTTTCTGTTATCATAGTTATCATACCAACTACTACATCAGGGAAGCCAACATTGCCAATAAGCAGCATTGGGATCCCTCTCTACCTAACAGTTACCTAGTAATTGGAGCGAGAGAGCTTGGATAACTAGAATCCATTAATAACCTCAGATCTACAGTTAGTTCAATTTCAGTCTACAACTCGTTCCCCCTCATGAAAACCCGAACAAAAACAGGCCCCAAATTATCTGGGTACATAATGCTGTCCCTACATGTATTCTAACAGGGAAATGACAGGATTCTGACCTGGAAAAACAACAAAAAACTGAAGTCCTCAAGTGTATCCACATGCTGACTTCTTGTCAATCATGAATCATCATTAACTGCCTGCTTTAGTTTCGGTTTCATTTCTGTGGTTGTCATGTGTTCAACTGTCCTTGGGAATGCTTATTGATCTTTTAAAAGGGGTTCTGTACAGTTAGTCCTGAGCTTGATATTAGTTAGGAAAATAGGGGATGAGGGAGAAATAGTACAGTTTGCTTCTGGAAGGCCTGATTCTTCAGGGTGGGTTCTGAGTGGAATGCTTCCTCCTGCTAATCACCACCCTTGAAATCCAGGTTTTAAAAATAAAAGCAAGCCTCAGTGCAATGGCGCATGATGTAGTAAAACATTGCCAGGACACAATGTCTAAATCCTGGATTGAATATTTCTGCCACTGACTTGCTGTGTGAACTTGGAGGAGTCATTCTGCTTCTTTGTGCCTGTTTCTTCTGAGTCAAAGGATTCACTGATGTGACCTACCACCATCACAGTGTAGTAAGAATCAAAAGGAAAGATGCCCTTTGAAATATTGCCCTAGTCTTCTTTACAAAGAGAAGACAAGAAAAAAAACTTGGTCCTTCATTTGTTTACATTTTTTTCTGACAGAATTAATAGTCCATAGCTGGTTCTATCCAGGGAATAGTGGCTTCCAAAGTATAATGTGTGTTTTCCAAGGGCTGTCCAAGTAGTATTGACATTTACAAAAGACTATATCTGTAATTATAGCACGGAATCATTGATGGGTCTTCTCCCACACATTAACTCTGAGGCAATGGTGTGGAAAAGCATTAAGTCTATAGCCAAGGGACTTGTGTTCTGGTTCCAGCTCTGTCTTTAAATGGCTGTATGACCTTGAACTAGTCAATTTCTCTGGCTCTCAGCTTTCTAGAAGATAAAAATAACTTTGATCTTGAATCTGTTCTAGGTGTAGCATACTCAATACTGTATTTTCTCTTTACATTCATTTGACATTGAATGTAGTCCCTAAGTTTTTGTTTTTACACTGATCAATGGTGAAGGGGACTGAGTGGGAGCAGTAGTTTGGGGAACCTTCTCTTAAGCTATAAATGGTTTCATGAATGATGAACCTCAAGTAATTATATGAGAAATCTATTGGTCCCCAGGTAACTCTGATAGCCTAATTTTATGGTCACTAGCCAATGAGTTACACTTGTTGAACTGACTCAGCACACTGGACCTTGTGATTACTTACAAATACCTTTTAGCAACATAGTCTGTCTTGAGCCATTTTTTGTGGACTGATATCTTTTGGGCCAGAAGTACTGAATCACTTATTTCTGGATAAGGCTACAGTGAGGGATGGAGATGGAGGGAATGGCTTAATGTTCTTTTGGGAAGTGGCATGATGTGGGATTTGGAAATGAAATTAAAACAACCCTAAACATTCAGTTTACTAAGGAAAATTTAAAAATGGGAAATGGGGACATAATTTTTAAAACAATTTCATGAGAACTAATATGATCCATGATGCATTGCAAAATGATATTCAGATCCTCGGTTAAACCAGTCATTCTTGTAACCCTCTAATGATGTGTGTGTGTGTGTGTGTGTGTGTGTGTACCAGTACTGGGTCTTGAACTCAGGGCAGGGGCTTTGTTCCTTAGCTTTTTTGCTCAAAGCTGGCACTCTACCACTTGAGTCGCAACTACACCTACGGATTTTTTGCTGGCTAATTAAAGATGACTCTCTCAGACTTTCCTGTTCATGCTGGCTTTGAACTGTGATCCTCAGATCTCAGCCTCCTGAGTAGCTAAAATTACAGGTGTGAGCCACCAGTACCCAGCTAATGATCAGTTCTTAAATGAAGCACAGCTAGCTTGTACATGTATGAAGTAATATTCCTACTTACCTCAGTATCCCTGACCTCATTCAGTTCTTAAGATGGTGTTCTTACAGAGAAATATGCCTAACTTTGTCCCATTACCAATTCTTTCAAGAGAAATATTCTTTTCTAATCTTCTCCCTCTAATTGGAGTCCAGCTTGGCTCATTGCCTTTCTTAATGAAATGTGTGTATTATGTAAATGGATTTAAGCAGTTATTTCTGAAAGTGTTTAGGTTGTATATGTGTGTGTACACACATATCCTTCTGTAGTTGTGTTTAATGCTTTTCTGCTTTCTTAGACAAAAGTCGGAGTATGGAAACTAGTCCATTCCCATGATAAGAAAAAATCTTTGAGGCCAGACCCAGTGAAAAGACTGTCTAGTGGCCAATGAGGAAATCATGAGGAGATAAAGCAAGCTCCTCCTTCCTTGTCCTTCTGCCCACCTTCTGATTAGGTGCCAACTCCAAACCCTTAGACTTCCTGTGCTTATAGGGTCATTTGAGATGGGGTCATACGGAAGCCTGCTGATGGTATATTTAGGTTCCTGATGAGTGAAACTTACCTAGATGAGTTGTGGTGGGCAGAAAAAGTCTTGGCCTATAAATAAAAGCTTAGCCATTAAGGTTCAGAATGGGTAAGAGGCTCCTAAGGAGCTCATGTGTCTCAGAGTTTCAGGATACTGAGACTGTAATAGAGTAATAAGGTTTGGGAAGGGTTTAACACTAACTCTGAGGCCCACCTGATCAGCTGTAAGTGGCAAAAAAATGGTTAGGAAGATCTCAGAAATACTGTCCCTGGATCCATGTGGGTGAAAATACATAACCAGAAATTCTGCCTACATTTTCAAGCAGTACTCTTCACTCTGTCCCTTGCATGGACGTGAACAGGTTCCAACTCATTTTACCTTGTTCAGAGATCAAGCCTCAGAGTGCATTTTTCAGACAAGGATAGAACCATTTGGAATCTCTTGGTTCCCTGCTTTGAAATATCCATGAGGAGGGGCACAGACTTAAATTTTCATAACCTCTGATGTGTCAGAGCCTCAAGTGGGAGATAAGTCAGAGGGCTCCTAGCCTCACACTACTGTCCTAGTTGGAAGAAACTGCTCTTAGGGCCTTTTGGCCGAGCTCTTGATTGGCTTTCTAGTAGATCTTGTAAGGTGCCATGAAGACTGCAGCATGGATTCTTTTCTGTATGGTGCACACCAGAGATGACTGTTGCGTACAGCTGCTGTTTCCTTTTGCAAGATCCTGGCATGACACATTGGTCTGTTCCTTGTCTTCCCAAGAAACGGAAACAGCAAATACCAGGCACAAGGAAAGCATCTTTGCTCATAAGGTGGTTTTCTTTTACCCCTAAAACTCTCATGTTTACATTTCTTCTTTCTCTGTATTTACATCCACATAGACACAACTCCCAGGCACAAGTCTGTAGTACTTGGCAGTGACAGAAAAGGCCTTAGAGCACCTCTCCCGATCACTAGATCCATGTAGACACAGATGGTTGGACACAGAGAAACAGCCAGGGGGAAGCAGAGAGGTACTATGACAAAGGAGACAAGGACAGACAAGAGATTAAGGGTTGCTGTGTGATCTCTTGGCAGTTCTGTGCAAGTCAGCTGGCCAGCAAAGGCTCAGGTTCAGTTGACCTCACTCACCTGTGGGGGGAATGAAGAGCTAACTCAGCAATAAACGGACTTGGAGCCTAAAAGCTTTTGCTATAAAAGGAGGAAAAAAATAATAAAACAAAACCTCACAAAATGCAGTTTTGGTTTAAAGGTGTTGGGTCCATGGAGAAAAACATTTCACAAAAATCGTTGGTGTTTTTTTTTCCCCACCTTTTCTCATGAATAAATATTATCCATTAAGATCCTTGAAAAAGGTGCTTAAATACACAGTGTTATATTTTCTTCCTGGTTTGAGTGTGATGACTTCACCTCTGTGCTGTTCTTGGTCTTGTCTTGTATTTTCTTCTCTGGGGCCTCCAGAAACAATTGCCATTTGGTTGGAGGCTTTCCCTCTAGGCCCTGTCCCGGCAGGCAGCCTAACCCCCCCTACTAACCCATACCCTTACCCTCCCATCCCTTCCTCTAGCCCCACCCAGCAAGATGCACGATCACAGGGCGATGTCCACACCAGCAGCAGGCCCCTCAGGTACCCTTTTGCTGCCTCTTTTTTTCCTTCCAGGCACAAGTCTCAGTGCTAGGGGTGCAATGGGGCAGGCAGAAATAATGAGGAGAGGGGGAGGGAGTGGTCCCAGTGGCCACCACCAACATGCCAGCCCCCTTCACTCCCCACTACCTCCTCTGGCCTTCAGTCCAATGGTTTTATTTTTTGTTTTTTTGTTTTTTTTGTTTTTTGTTTTTTTTTTACAAGGCAGAGACCTTGACAACGTTGCTGGCTATGGAAGGAATGTTCGTGTTGGGGCCTGGGCTGGCAGGGGGTGGCCGACTTTCCCCTTCTGGGGTTAGCGCTGGGGGAGTGGGGATGCTGATGATGGCTGTGGTGATCTGGGATGTTTTGCAGTTTGGTCTCAGTCCGTCGTCTGCTTTCAAATTAAGGCTGGAGCGACTAAGATAGAAAAGAGTGAGTTGATGATGGTTTCTGTTTACTAGCATCCCAAAGCATCTTTTATCCCCTTCCTTTGTTTGGCTCATAGGAACTAGTGGGAGTCTTTGGTGACCCTCTACTTCTGCCTTTGGTAACCAGCTTGTAATGATCCATTCTAGTTATTATTATTGAACTCCTGGCATTACAAGGTCATAAATAGACTGGAGTTTTGGAATTTACAGTCTAAAGTTTCCCTTCCGTCATTCTAGACTTATTATTTGTGACATTTAACATTGGCTTTTCCTGAATTCTCTGTAACTGATTTGGCAATGAAGGGAAGCGACTTAAATATAAACAAAGAATCTGAGAAGGAAAAGTCAGTTTGTGATTCGAAGTCACCCCTACCTAAGCTAAGCATGATTGTAAAAATTATTTCCTTAATAAAATGACCAGACCATTTTTCTTTTTCTTTTCTTTTCTTTTTTGCATGGAGGTGGGTCAGGTCATTTTTGGATTATCTTGGTCTGTTTCCCCATAATACATAACCCCACTTTTGGGCCTTAGGCTGCTACAAGTATCATCCCACATCCTAGGAAGGATTTAGGACCAAAACATACGAGAAGAATGGGAGGAGGAAGGTGAGGGATCTCATGCATTAGATCAGTCTGGGGGAGGAGAATGGCTAGATGATTCTCCAGGTTGTCTCAAATGCTAAGATTGTTTAATTCTGGGAATGAAATGACTCAGTCCTTTGGGGGTGATGAGCTGGAAGCCACCCACCTGGTAGTGAGGGACGGCTGCTCGCTGCCCTGGATGTGGATGGTGCTGAGCTCTTGCATGCTGCGCAGGCGGGTGGCTGGCAGGTTAGAATTGGGTAGATGTGTGGTTTTCTTACTGCGACGCGAACAGCAGGTGGTAGTGAGGCCAGGATGGCTGGACAGTGAAGGGCTTCTTGTGGATGGGTAGTTCTGCATTGAGCTCTCCATGCAGTTCTGCTCAAACATCTGCTCATCAATGAACTCATGGTTCTGCAGGAGGCAGAAGCAAAAGATGTAGGAAAAGGTGGAAGAGCATGAGCCCCAGACTCTGGATGGCTGCCTGTCTCTGCTCTGGGCCTTGAAGAAAAGGGTTTGCAGCTGCCTGGATCACAAATAAGCATTTGGGAGGAGTGACAGTGGTGTCCCACAGGCACCAAATACAGAAAGAATCAATCTGGCCTCTCTAGCCATCAGATTGATGGGCCTATCCTTGCTTGCTAGGCAGGTACCCTACCACGTAAACCACTCTGCCAGCCCTTTTTCCTTTGGTTATTTTAGAGATAAGTTCTTGCTTTATGCCTGAACTGGCTTGGACAGTGAGTCCTCTGTTTGTGCTTCCTCATGTTGCTGGGGACATCAAGTGCACACCACTGAGTCCAGCTGTTGTGCTGCACCCCTAGTTGGGATAACAGGCCCCAGCCACTGTCTCCAGCCACTGGTTGAGGTAGAGCCTCACCAATTTGTTTCTTTTTGACTCCATTTTCTTTACACTGTACTCTTCTGATTTCTACCTTTCCAATAGCTCGAATTACAGGCTTGAGCCACTTTATCTGGCTGTTTTATGTTTGTTTTTTGTCAGTTATGAGGCTTGAACTCAAGGCCCAGTTGCTATCCCTGAGCTGTTTATGCTCAAAGTGTTCTACCACTTTGAGCCACAGTGCTACTTCTAGTATTCTGGTGCTAATTGGAGCTAAGAGTCTCATGGACTTTCCTGCCCAGGCTGACTTTGAACTGCCATCCTCAGATTTCAGCCTCCTGAGTAGCTTGGCTTATAGGCATGAACCACTAGTACCTGGCTTTCTGGCTGTTTTCTTTTAGTGTTTTTTTCTTTAATATTGTGTCTAATGATGGGATATGGATCCTTAAAATACTTGGAGGCACAGGACTTCTTATGTCAATGTGAGGGAATGCTAACCATCTCCTAACTATAGGTCCTGATGGTGGCATGTAGAACAACCCAGGCTAACTAAAAAGTGGCTGCTTGGTCAGGTGGCTAAAAACCTATGGTGTTGATGTCCTAGCGAAGGCAGTCAGAGCAGGGAGAAAGTCAAAGGAGAAGTATCATAGGAATAGAGTTCAAGACAGACCTCCTCCCACCCCCATCCCCAGCTGAAAGCCAATGTCAGGAGTCCCTGAAGAGTTGGGCCAGAGAAGTGGCACATGGACACTCAATAGGAAAGTGACATTGATGCCATGTTCCACCATACCCTCAGAGCCCTTGAGGAGGTCAAAAGAGGGGATTATAAAGGCAGTTGGGTAGTTCAGCACAATCACTGAAGCCTGAGCTGGCACTGGGTATGACAGCAGAGGTAGAATAGGCCCCAAAGAATCAACAGCACATGCAGAGAACCAGACCAAGGGTTGAAAGGGGGAGATCCACAGACTCAGAAGACTCAGAGAGGAAAAACATCAATTGAATTTTTAAAAAGTTATACCTTGATGGTGGAGGTTCGTACAGATAACAGGGGATCATCCACAAGATAGGACAATCCCTACAGGACAACATGCCAACAGAAGATAAAAACACCATTGATTGTACATTCCAGCATTCCCAAGCCAGTTTTGACAGTCAATCAATCCCAGCATTCCATCCTTTGAGTTCAACATTCCATCCCTCATTCCCAGCATTCTGCCCCCCCCCACTCCAACATTCCACCCTTTGGTTCCAACAGGACATCACTCAAAACCAACATTCGCTCCTTCCATCCCAACATTCTCCATCTACCCCATCATTCCACTTCCCAGTACCACATTCCTCCCCAGCATTCCAGAGCTTGGATCCTAACATCCCACCCCCACAAAACAACATTCTTCTCAAATTCAGCATTCTACTCCTTGAATGCCAGCATTCCGTCTCAATGCCCAAATCCCATTTCTCCAAGGCCAACATTCCAGCCCTTCAAACCTCAATATTTTTACCCATAATGATTTCAATTTATACATTCTACCCAGCACATGCAATTAGAAAGGGCAGTTGGGCCTGGGCCTAGTCCTTTGGCAAGCTCAGCATCTTTGAGGAAAGTTCTAGATAGGAATATACGGTTCTTGATGATAGGTCTTGGAAACTATGATTTGCAGAGTACCTTTCCCTTTTGGAGGTCCTCACTAGACTCAACTGCCATTCATAGTATCCATGTTTGGTTCAGATTAAGAGTCATTTTAGCATCAGGGAAGCCAGGATATGGAACACTGGGAATTACAGAATTCCTTAGCATGCTCAGTCCTGACTCTAAGCTCTCTGGGTAGGGAGTGTCTAGAAAGGGGCAAGAAGCATTTTACTTTGGTTTGTCTACTCCGACTTCTCCTTCCTAATATCCTCAGAATTTTCTTTTGCCAAGAGTTCAGGGCTAGCCCTACTGCCCTTCCTTTCAGGCTGTTGGGGGAGGCACAAGCATCATTCCCATTCCAGCTGGGGCACCCTAAACCATGACGACTCCTTTAGCAACCAGCCTTTTCATATCTGAATTTCCTGGAAATTGCAGAGTGACTGAGAGGGGGTCGATAAATCTTGGCTAGAGAAATAAATGCACTGTTCCTTCATTAGCTGCCTCCTGTTCCAAGAGACAGGTAACACAAAGGGACTCATAGATCCCATCAACCTAGTCCCAGAAGTGAGACAGAAGTTGACACGTTGCTACTGTTTGGTATGAATTCAGACTGCGTGTTGAAGGATGATACCCATCAGAACTGACAAATGGAGATGCCTGTAGCCCTCAATAATCAAATAGGCTGTGGAGGCTGGTGTAGAGGTGGGTAGGGAGGTAGAGGAATGGCTTTCTCTATGCTCCCACAGGACAGAATGGGCTTTCTACCATGTCTTCAGCAATGCCTTTTGGGTCTGAAGGGGACAGACTGACTTGTGGAGTAGGGTGAAAATCTGAGTGCTGACTTAGGAAAAAGTTAGAGTCAGGTAAGAGACAGGAGGTGGCAATGGGCTGAGACTCACAGTGGTCTTTTCTAGGCAGTGCAGCAGGTGATGGTGCTGGCTCTCAATAAGAGAGGTGCTTTTGCCCATATGCTCCTCTTCTGGAGTACCCTGGAGAGAGAAAGAAGAGAGGCTGAACATAAAGCTGATATATCTCTTTCTGGTGTCCTTGTTTCTCCATAGAACAAGACCAGAGCCACATTCCAGAGTCAGCATTAAACATAGTTTAGTCTTAGGCTAGGACCTTTGACACCAGCTGGTTTAGGGGTAGTGGTGAGAAACTTTCTGGAGAGGTATGTAAATGGGGAAAGGTGAGGAGCATGTCCTCTTTGGGGTTCCAACTGGAGCTTTGGGGCAGCAGTGCTGATGTCCATGGGCAGAAAATCAGCCCATTCTCCTTTATCTCCCCCAGGCACCTACCGTCAGCTCCAGAGCCTCATTGAGGAGCCCATTGCGCTTGCTGTGCAGGTAGGCATTGGAACTTCCTGTCTTGGCCACTCGGATCCTGGCAAGGCGGGCTTTCTGTGATTGGCAGAGATAATAGGAGAGTGAGGGAGACCAACATACAAGAAGACAAGAAGCTTGGGCAAGGTCAATGATAGCAGGCTGCCCTGAGATGCTGGCCTCCCAGGTGATGCCTGATGTAAGGGGAAGAGGCCTGGGACCTGAGACACTATACTCTCATTGTACAACTTGACCATAGTCAGAGGATTATAAGCATGAGCCACCACTGCTCATCAAGTGTACTTTTTTATTCGTGTGTGTGTGTGTGTGTGTGTGTGTGTGTGTGTGTGTGTGATCTCTATAAATCCAGGGATGGCTACTCCTGTAGATGAAGGAGAGAATGAATGAACCAGAGAACCTGAATGAACCAGAGAAAGGCCATCAAGTGAACTCCACTACTTTGCCTCTCTGAGTAAAGAACATTCCTGAAGGTCTAAGGCAATTCTCTCTGGGAATCCTGCTCCAGCTTTTCCCTTGGCTAGATGTTTATATTCAAGCAAGTTCCTCATAGCTTGTGGATGTGGCTGTTATTGCTCTTGGTAAGTGCTAGGTGTTGAGAGCTGCATATGGAAATCCAATTGTGTCAAGCTCATTATAGCCTTATATAATCTGATTGTACCACTTACAGCCAGACCTTTCTCATATCTGGGGTCTGTCTTCATTACTTTCCAGAGATGAAAGATTCTCCTGTTCTCCTTTGTGGCACTTCTTTTAATCTTATGGTACCTTGGGCTCTATTAAAGCAGCAGATTGTCATATCAAATACACCATATCGCTTAATCATTTCCCACAAAGGATAAAGAGGTTTGAGATCTATTGACAGAATCATACCTAGCATATGAAATTTGGAGGGCTTCTCTAGCTTGGTTTTAAGTTCTTGAGGGCTAGTGGCCTGTGGCTTATGAACATTTTTTTTTTTTTTGCCAGTCCTGGGTCTTGAACTCTGGGCCTGGGCACTGTCCTTAAGCTTCTTTTGCTCAAGACTAGCACTCTATCACTTGAGCCACAGCACCACTTCCAGCTTTTTTTGTGTATATGGTATTGAAGATTTGAACCCAGGGCTTCATGCATGTGAGGCAAGCACTCTACCACGTTCCCAGCCCACTTTTTTTTTTTTTTTTAATCTCCAGCATCCAGCACAGGACTCTTGTACTGAGTAAGTACTCAAGCAAAGCTCCTGGCAGCCAAGAAAGGAAGCTAATCAGTTGGTTAGATGCTTGTGGTTTATAAAGTCAATGTAATGGACTTTATCTTTGTGTGAATCAGCCAGCTTCATTCTTTTCCATGACCATGGGCACTGTGGAAATTAAGAGCTTAAAGGCCCATCCCGGCCATTTCAAAGACAAAAAGGAAGTATATGAGAAGTGATTTAGCTAGGGCAAAGCAGGGGACTAGACCTTCAGCTTTGGCCTTTGGCTTTGAAGCCAAAGCTTCCATAGCATTCTCCTGTTCCTTTCCTGACTTCCATTTCTATCATGCAAGTCTCAAAACTTAAAAGGTAAAATCCCAGGGGGCTGCATTTTCAACTAGGATGGAGATTCCAGGATTTGAGGAGAAATTAGTAAGGAGAATGTTTCCACCCTCTATAGGGCAGGACACCATTTATGAGCAAGGGCTAATTTTATCAACCTCTGAAATCCTTCCACAATTGAGCAAGTGCCATTTGGACACGAGTACTTGGATCTCTGTCTCTTAAAGACTCAGAAGAAGGAAAATAAGGGAGAAACGGAGTGGCCAAAAGACAAGACAGGCAAAATTGCATTCTTAGGCCTTTTCCAAGAGAAATGAAAACATGTTTATGTAAAAACTTGTACATCAATGTTCACAGCAGCTTTATTTGTAATAACTGAAATAGGTACTTTTCTCGGTTAAACAAACTGGGAATTCCATTCTATGGACTACTATTCAGAAATAAAAACAAAGGCACTGTTGAGACACACAGTTGGGATGACTATCTAGTAATTATATGGAATAAAAAATAATTCCAAAGATTGATTCTGGACTGCTCATTTATAACATGTTTGAAATGTAAATATTTTATAAATGGAGAACAGATAAATAGTGGCCATGGGTCACAGCAGGGGTATGGGTTATAAAAGGGCAACCAGGTATGCTTGTGGTGTTGACACTGGTTGGTCTCAGTCATCAGACTGTGGTGGTCTTCATGAGCTTATCACCCCCATCCTTATACCATACAACTAAAATGGGCAATTTGAATCAGATGGTTGAGTTGTACCAGGATTCATACCCTAGTTATGCCTTTACTGTATAGTTTTGTAAAGTCTTACCATTGGAAAAAACTGGAAAAACTAGACAAGGGACCACTCTGTATTATTTTTTTCTGCAAGTAAATGTGAATTTAAAATGATTGCAAAGCCAGGTGTTATAATCCTTAGATCTCAGCCTTCTGAGATCTAAGGATTGCCATTTGAAGTCAGCCTGGGCAGAAAAGTCCATGAGGCTCTTAGCTCCAACTAATCAGCAAAAAAAAACTGGAAGCAGAGTTGTAGTTCAAGTTGAAAAGCATTGACTTTGAGTGAAAAAGCCAAGCTAGATTATGGAGGGCCTAGTATACTCCAGTACCTGTATATGCAAATTCTCTCTCTCTCTCTCTCTCCATACACACACACACACACACACACACACACACACACACACATATACATTGGTCAGTTGTGGGGCTTGAACTCAAGGCCTGGGTGCTATCCTTGAGCTCTTTTTGCTCAAGGTTGATGCTCTACCACTTTGAGCCACAGATCTACTTCCAGTTTTCTGGCAGTTAATTGGAGGTAAGAGTCTCACAGACTTTCCTGCCTGGGCTGGCTTTGAACTGAAATCCTCCTGAGTAGCTAAGATTATAAGTGTGAAAACTGTTTAAATAGGGATACAGGTGGACCCATTGCAACAATGAGATGTACAAGGCGTAATGTTGAAAAAAGAACTTTACAACTTGGGCTGGGTGAGGGGGGGCGGTGGGTGGTGGATATGGGAGGGCAGGGATGGGAAGGGGAAACAAAGGAGGAGGCAACAATGCTTGATAAGAAATGTACTCATTACCTTGCCTGTGTAATTGTAACCCCTCTATACGGTATTTTCACAATAAAAAATTAAAAAAAAACGATTATAGGTGTGAACTACCGGTGGCTGACTCAATAAAATATTTGATTAAAACAAAGAATAAGCAAAAGGAAAGAAATGTACATATCACTCGATTTGGAAAAAACAGTTGTAATGTCAAAATTTGTAGAGACCATAGCCTATAGACCATGATAATGCAATGCACCTTGTGAAGGTTAAAAAGTGTTTGTAGGGGCTGGGAAGTTGGCTCAGAGATAGAGTGTTTGTAGAATACATGAAGCCCTGGCTTCTATTCCTCAGCACCACATAAGCAGAAAAAAGCCAGAAGTGGTGCTGTAGCTCAAGTGGTAGAGCGCTAGCCTTGAGCTGAAGAGCTGAGGGACAGCGCCCAGGCCCAGAGTTCAGGCCCCACGACTGACAAAAAAAAAGTGTTTGTGACTGTAAGTACCTCTATCCCACAATACTGTGAATTTTGTGAAATGTATGTAATCACTTAATCTCAAAAAAAAAATACCAAAGTGGAGAAAGTTAACACTATACAAATAATAATAATAATAAAAGAATATGGTACTTGTAAGGTCTTCCCAGGCCATGCAGGCTTTGGCCTCCTTACCTCCTGTATATGTCTCTACCCAGTACCTTCCTTACCTAGGAAACTCATTCACTTGGAAGCCATTACCTCCCCCAGCCAGGCCTCCCATCAGAGGTAGGGGGAGGGTCCTAGACTCTGGAGTAACATGTGGCCACACCTTTCCTCTACCTGGCCACACCTCTTCCCATCCCTGGCCTAGAAGTCCTGGCCTGGGGTGGGTCTCCCCTTTGATCATGTGTTCTCCACCCTTTGTGGTGAGGCAGCAGTTGGGTAAATAAACTTCTTTTCCTACCTGAATACCGCTGTAGTGTTCTCTTCATGGGCTACCTAATTAATATGCCTTGTAGTGTTAGGGTGTTGCTTAGTGGTAGAATATTTGCCTTGCATTCACAAGTACAGACAACAAAACAAGCTAAAAAAAACCCCAACCCCCTGGGCCTTCCTTCCCCCACTCCTTGCCCCGAATAATCCTTCCCAAAGTCAGAAGAACATGGGCATCTCCAAGAAATGGTGGTGGGGTACAGATACCCCATTCCAGATGCCATGCTCCCATCTGCACCAGAGCAAACCAGTCACTACAGGTAGGGATGATGAACCTCTGCCCCCAAGGCCTGTGGACTGAACTTATTTCTTGAGCATCATCAGCTCCAGGTATGGAATCTGGGCTGAGGAGTAGCCCAGCTTCCCTGGCCTCCTCCCTGTCTCATCTCTCTTCTCCCAGGAAGTCCCTAGGGCTTGTCTGCCTAGGCTCACTTTTACAGACTCTGCTAGGAGCAGGAATTACTGTTTTTGTTTTGTCTTCCTATCATAAGAAGGTGAAAGAGATCGGGCTGAGCACCGTCTCCAGGCTAGATGAAAACACTGTAAATATTTACTCTGATTTCAAAGGGAGGCAGAAGAGAGACAGAGGAAGGTGAGCAAGGAGACTCAGCAGTTTAGAGAAAAGAGTACGCTGAGTTACTCCCTCTGGATTTTAATTGCACACAACGAGCTTTATCCAGTCCAGAGGGAAAGCCTACCGCCATGTTGTTTACAGCTGAGATGCTCTAAGAAGGAGGCACAAGTGTAGGGAGGGAGGGGAAGGTGGCCAGGGGAGCTACCTAAAGCACTACTGTGGAGGGCTTTCACCCCATGAGCAGAGGATTTTCCGGGAAACCCGACTTGTGCTTCCTGCTTTCAAGTCTTAGTCCAGGTTTAGGAGATGGGGTGCAGTGTGTATGTGAGACCCTGGCTCGGTAGGGCCCCAGGCTCCTGGATTGGGATATGAGATCCCAGCTTCTTCCTACCCTATTCTTTAGAACTGTGTAATGAATTTAGACATTGTTCACATTTTCCAGCTGGATTGAACATGAAGAGACCAAACTTCCATTTCTAGGGTGGCTTCCAGTGGTAGGAGTTGGAGAAACCCAAATCTTGGGTGAAGAGATAGGAAACAGATGCTGGAAGGGGAACAGAGAAAGCCAGAAGAGAAATCTTAAGGCTGGCAACATGATAGACCAGGCCAAGGTAAGTTCAATACAGGCAGAGAGAGACAGGAGGAGGGTGAGGAAGGAAGTAACCTAACATACCTGACAGGTGATACAAGGGACTAAGGAACCAAGTGAGTTTGGTGTATGATTATATTTGATACCATGAATATTTCATTCTACATTGTTTTATGTAAATGATCATACAGTAATTATTATGCATTTTAGAGGTAACTTTCATGGGTTTACGGCCTTATTATAGTTCATACACAGGGACTTGTTCTGAAATTCTGAATTGCCGGAATCTAGTATGAAGCCCTGTTATCAAAGCAGGTGGAAGCAAATAATCAGCTGTAAGGCCTGCCACATAGGAGGTGCTCAGTCAATCTGTACAATAAGTGAATGGAAGGATAATATATGAAGACTCAAATCCTAAGCTCTGACCATACCTTCTGGTGATAGAGATACTGGGGAGAGCTCCACATATCAGCTCAGACCAGAAGGGAAATGGGGCACTCCCCTCAGATACCCCTTCCTTGATAGGAACAATGGAGGAGCCATTTCCAGGGACCTTCTTTAGCCAGCTGGCTTCACAATTGAACTAAGTGAGCATTGGCTTAATTGGTGGTTGAGGATTTCTCATGAAGGAGGTTCTCCTGAGCCTCCAACCTTGCAGAGATCTCTCTGTGTCTGGGGGCCCAGGACTGCATTTCCCGCCTCCCTGATGCTTTAAGGATACACTGCGCATAGCTTTAGAACTTCCTCAGGGCTGTGGATGGCTCTCCTGGTGGTCATCCATCGGGTTCTACAGTTTCTCCCTCTGGCACTGGAATGAACTATAAAGCTCGATATGCCATTTGTTCTGGAACTCACTGGCCTCGCGATGTTCTCCTTTCAAACTATTCATTTTTCTCTTCAGCACATTTATTTTTGTCACTAGGTTTTGTATAGGCTATTATAAGATATTAAAATGAGACTGTTTCCCAGTCAGCTTTTGGCTGGGAGAAGGAGGGGCCAAGAAACTGCCCAGTGGCCCCGGTTGGAGTGTGGAGCTGGACTACACACCAAACCATAGCCTGGGAATATGCGAAGGAGGATGATAACCAGCGTGTAGGTAATCGAGGGCATGGTGCCTGGGCTAGAATTGACAATGCTGGTGAGACTCGGAGTCAGCAGCTGCCTTCCCTTCCCAAGCTGGAGGATATTTGTTTAGGGATTTTCCAGATGACTCCAGACCTGGCAACCAACGTGTGCCCCCTGCTCCTTCTACTCCTCCCTGTTCCCACCGTCTCATGTGTGGCTTACCTTCTGTGCCCTGCGTTTATCGGCTCTCTGATTCTGGTGATAAATCCTGCTAAAGTTGGAAACAATCACAGGGACTGGCAGGGCGATGACCAGGACGCCACTGAGGGAGCAGATGGAGCCGAAGATCTTTCCTGCGATTGTCTTAGGCACCATGTCACCATAGCTAAAGGAGAGAGAGATACACACAGAGAGAAAGAGACAGTAACAGGAAGTAAGGAAGAGAGGAGCCATTGGGGAACTAATTAAGGATCCCAGCCAATGATGTGCCATTCATTCATCCATTCATTCAAGGATTGCTTAGAGTACCTACTATGTGCCAGGTTGCAGGAATATAACCTGAGAATGAGCCAAGAGAAAAGATCCTTATGGAGTCTTATGGAACCGACTTCCTATGAGAAGAAGACTATATACCCAAGGAAGTGACAATATGAAACACAAGGTTTGTTTGTGCCTTGGGGTTGTAGCTATAAAGAGAAAGAAGGGAGCAGCTGTGCCAGGAAGTGGGAATGTGGTCAGGAAAGGCATGGCCCATATGCTAACATTTAAACCGATATCTGAAGGTGAAGGACAAAGACACAAAATCTCTGTGTATATGTCTGCTAGGCAGATGGAACAGAGGTTTGGAGGCCCTGAGACAGTGGTAAGGTGCTTGGGTTGTTCTAGGGATTGTCAAAGGGCCAGCAGAACTGGATATTGAGGGAGGCAAAGAAGATTGAGAGGTAGGCATGGCAAGCATGCAGCGTGCAGTGGGCCACTGTGAGCAGCATAGGTTTCATCCCAAGTACAAAGACGAACGTGGATGAGTTTGTTTGCTTATTTATTTATTTATATTGCAAAAGTGAGTATGTAAGGTCTGCACAGTGACACCTCCCTACTCTTGGCTGTTTCCACCCAGTATCTGTTACCTAGGTAACTGGCAGACCTGGAAGCAGTCACCTTCCCCTCCTGCTAGGTCAAATCCTGGGCCAACTCTGGTCACATGCCTCCCATCTGACCTTAGGAGGGTCCCAGACCCTGAGGTCATGTCCGGATCCAGTGTGGCCACGCCTTTCCCTCACCTGGCCACACCTCTTCTTGTCCCTGGCCTAGATAAGACCTGGCCCAGGGGTAGGTCGCCCCTTCCTTTTCAGCCATGCCTCTCCACCACATATGGTGGGGGCAGCAGTTTGGTAAATAAACTCTTTTTCCTGCCTGAATAGCATGGGGGTGTTCTCTTCAACGGCTACCTAATGAAGCCTACCTATTTAATATACCTTACAATGTACAGTTGTATAGGTCAAGTAATAAGTACGTTTCTTGTTGAACAGTGTCACCTCTTCCTTCATTTTCTTCCAGTTTTTCCTTCCCAACCCCTCCTCTGACAAGTTATCTAGTTTATTGTCAACGGAGTGTCTAGAGAGTATCACTGCTGTATTAGTTCTCCCTTCCTCCAACTATTTCTGTGCTTTCCCTTCCCCTCCCCCAAACACATGAACTTACAAACAAGATAAAAGGTACAGAAATCAAAAGCAGTGACAAAGGGGAAAAAATAACCCAAAAAACTAAAACCAAAAGAAAAAGAAAAGTAATAAAAAACCACTTGTTTCCATTTCTTGGAGTTCATTTCAATAAACATCATTTCATATGATCATATGCTCTAGTGACCTTTCCTAAGAATATCCTCCTTTGGTTTTACCATGTGAATATTTAGAGTCCTGCTTAGTTTATCATGTCCAAATATAATTTTTTTGTCATTGTGTTTTCTTGTAGATTTATAGGCACATTCTAATTAGTACAAATGAGGGAAACCATGAAACCTGTTTCTTTGGGTCTGGCTTACTTCACTTAATATATTTTTCCCCCAAGTCTCCATTTCCTTACAAATGGTGCAATATCGTTGTTTCTGATGGAAGCATAGAGTTCCATTGTGTAAAGATACCATATTTTCTTGATTCATTTGTCCACTGAGGAGCATCTGGTTTGATTCCATATCCTAGCTATGGTAAACAATACTGCAATGGACATGGTTGTGCTGGTAGTTTTACTGGAATTCCAGGAGTGGAATTTCTGGGTCAAAAGGAAGTTCTATATTTAGTCTTTCTAAATGTTTTTTTTAAAAAATCTTATTGTAAAGATACTGTACAGGAGTGTTACAGTTACATGAGTAAGGTAATGAGTACATTTCTTTCTTTCTTTATTTTTTGGGTCCGGTCGTGGGGCCTGAACTCTGGGCCTGGCACTGCCCCTCAGCTCTTCAGCTCAAGGCTAGAGCTCTACGACTTGAGCCACAGCACCACTTCCGGCTTTTTTTCCCCCTGCTTATGTGGTGCTGAGGAATTGAACCCAGGGCCTCAAGCATGCAAGGCAAGCGCTCTACCACTGAGCCACTTTCCTAGCCCATGAGTACATTTTTTTTTTTTTGGTTGGTTGTGGGCCTGAACTCTGGGCCTGGGCACTGTCTGGGCCTGGGCACTGTCCCTCAGCTCTTCAGCTCAAGGTTAGCGCTCTACCACTTGAGCCACAGCGCCACTTCCGGCTTTTTCTGCTTATGTGGTGCTGAAGAATCGAACCCAGGGCCTCAGGCATGCAAGGCAAGCACTCTACCACTGAGCCACCTTCCCAGCCCATTTCTTATTGAATGTTGTTACCTACTCCTTTGCTTTTCTCCTACTATCCCTTCCCTCCCCAACCTACCCCACTGCCCTTCCCCCCCCCCCCCACAACAGAAGTTGTAAAGTTTGTTTCCAACATAGTATCTTGTGAATATTTTTGTTGCAATGGGTCATCCTGGGTCATTGTTTCAGCATTTTGTTATTCCCCTTTCCTCCCCAAATTAGATAAATATATATACAAGATGCAGGGTACCAAAAACAAATATAGTGGCAACAGGGAATATACCATAGGGGAAAGACCATACAAAGAAACAACAACAAAAAAAACACCCCACATAGTACATTATAAACAATGACAAAGAAAAACCTCTTGTGTCCATATCTTGGGCTCATTTTGCTTAGCATCATGTTTTTTTTTGGTGGGTCATGGGGCCTGAACTCTGGGCCTGGGCATTGTCCCTCAGCTCTTCAAGGCTAGCATTCTACTGCTTGAGCCACAGCACCGCTTCTGGCTTTTTGCACCATTTCTGGCTTTTTCTGCTTATGTGATGCTGAGGAATTGAACCAAGGGCATCATGCCTGCAAAGCAAGCACCCTACCACTGAGCCACCTTCCCAGCTCTAGCATCATATGGTCATATGTACATAGCTTTTGAACTTTTCTGCTCATCTGATAAGATTATCCTAGACATAATACTTATTATTGCGCATAAGGGAAACCATGGGACCTATACTTCTTTGGGTCTGGCTTTCTTCACTTAATATGATTTTTATCACTCTTTCCATTTCCTAACAAAAGGGTGGTGTTATTCTTTCTGATGGAGGCATAGAATTCCATTGTATATTAAGTGGGCTAAAACTTAAAGAGAGACTTCTCTGAAGAGGAAATAAGAATGGCCAATAGACACATGAAGAAATGCTCAACTTCTCTGGCCATAAAAGAAATGCAAACCAAAACAACATTGAGATTCCACCTCACTCCAGTTAGAATGACTGTAATCAAGAAATCTAATGACAACAGATGCCGGAGGGGATGTGGCCAAAAGGGAACCCTACTGCACTGTTGGTGGGAGTGTAAACCTATTCAACCACTCTGGAAAGCAGTATGTTTAGTCTTTTGAGGAACCTCATAATGCTTTGTAGAGTGGTTGAACAAGTTTACATTCCCACCAACAGCGTAGTAGTTTTCCCCTTTTTTTGCCCACATCCCTACCAACTGTTTATCAAAATGAACTCCAAGAAATGGAAACAAGTGGTTTTTGTAATTTTTCTTTTGGTTTGGTATTTTTTTGGGGGGGTGTTTTCCCCCCTTTGTTGCTTCTTTGACTTCTGTACATTTTTTCTTGTTTGTAAATTTATCTGTTTGAGGAAGGGGAAAGAGAAGCACAGAAATGGTGGGGCAAAGGGTGAATTCGCTAGACACTCTGTTGCCAATGAATATACAACTTATGGGGGAAGATGATTGGGAGGGAAAAACTGGGAGGAAATGAGGGAAGAGGTGACACTGTTCAAAAAGAAATGTACTCATTACCTGACCTATGTAATTGTGCATCACCTTTACAATATAAATAAATAAATAAACAAACATGTTCATCATTGTACTTGGGATGAAATCTATGCTACTCACAGTGGCCCACAGAATGCTTCATGCTTCTGTGCCTGCAGTGAACATGGTTGTGTTGGTGGCTTTATGGTAACCTTGTTTGTGATCTAGTAGATAAATGTGCAGGAGTGGAATTGTTTGGTTATAGGATAGTTCTAGATTTTTTTTTTTT